GACCTTCTACACTGATTTGTCTTAGCATCTACTCTTGCTACCAAACACCAATCTACTGACCTGATGATTAGCAACCCAAATGGGTTAAATTTTAATTTCCTAGAAGGTCCAGAGTACATCTAGTAGCTCCTCAACCCAGTGAAGAAAGGAAAGTGAAAACTACAAAACACCAAGTACCTAGCCAATGTCAAGAATGTAACACAATTTCACACATTTCATCCTCACAAGAACCCTGTGAATTAATTGACACTATCCCATTTTACAGATGAGGAACTCGAAGCTCAGAGACGCTAAGTGATACAGCTACTAAGTGGCAGGGCCAGGGCTGAAAAGTCAAGGCTATCTCATTCCAGAGGTCAGACTATTATGTCTTACTGAGAAGACCTGGGCAAGCAAGTCACTTTCAATTTCTCTAAACCTGAGTCATCTTCTATAAAATGGGAGTGTCTGTCAGAGTTATTACAAGATTAAAACGAAATGGTATTCATAAAAAGGGATTATGAAAGTGCTTTTTCCACGCACAGTTATTGATGATAAAGCAAGAAAGGTAAAAATCCCCAGAGCCAGCAAGTCCCAGCACCTCCAGAGCAGGCAGAAGGCACTTGTTAGATACCTCAAGCTAAAATTAGCTGAGGCAGAGTCTTCTCTATTTTTAGTTGAAAAGGACTCTGGAGTTCGGCCAGATTCCCAGGCTAGGGCTTACCCAGTGGTCAACTTCAGACAAGCCAGAAGTCAATATCCAATTTTGTCCTACCGGGAAGCACTTACTGTCCCTGCATACATTAGGGCTTTCTTCCCCCAGTCCTAGGCTTGCCTATCATCAAAATCCTCCCACTCCCACTGCTCACCAGCCTAGAAAGCATGCTTGAATTCAAGTCATGGCTGTAAGCTTTTGCCTTGTGACTTAAGAGCAAAACATTTTACCACCCAGAAGCTTTAGATTTCTCATTTTAAAAGGTTACTGAGGGCCGGCCGAGTGGCTCAGTTGGTTAAGAGCTGGCTTGGGAGCGCAAGCTCTGAGCAGCAGGGTCACCGGTTCAGATCCCATATGGGGGCCGGTGATGCTGCGCCCTCTACAGCTAAGATGGTGAACAATGGCTCAACCTGGAGCTGGGCTGCTGTGAGTCACCAGCGACAGCGTACGCAGCAGCGGGGCTGCAGTAAGCTACTATGAGTGACTGGCAGCCGGCATAAGCTGCCATGAGTGACCATCCAATGGCCGGCAACCAACTGCCTCACCCGGGAAGAGCACAATGATAATACCAACATGAGCTAGTGAAACAACGTCCTCCATAACTAGATTGAAAAACAAAAGGACAGCAACTTGTCTGTTTCCCTCCCCCAATTCCCCAATAAAATCTTTGAAAAAAAAAAGGGTTATTAATAATTTCTACTCACAGGATGGTAGTGTAGAAATACTAATTGAAACACTAAACTTCCAAATATGTCCTGAGTGTCAGGGATCCAGAGAATGGCATGGTCCCTTCCCTAAAAATCTTTAGAGGCCAACTGGGGAAACAGCTGTGCTAACCACTCATTTCAGTGCCATGTGAGCAATTGTCATACCCATGATTGTGAACTGCTGAGGATCACACAAGAGCACTCACTATACAGGGCAGAGGTCAAGAAGAGTGAACACAGCCAAGGTGACCATAAGTGGGGTCTTGAAGAATATGAAAATTATTAAATGATGTACCATTAAGAGATTATTTCAGAAAATGGGGTGGCAAAAAACAAAAAGATCTTATTTTGTAAAATAGTGTTTTTGTCTCCTTGTAAATTGCTGTGGGGGGTGGGGGACAAGTGTAATCTAGTGTCTAGGGAAAAAATAGATTTACTAGCAACAAGATTTTGAAAACTGGAATGATGAAATTGGGAGGCTCTGCTGACACCTGCCCTTTCCACCAGCTCTGACCCAATACTATACCACTGCGAACCGAGTTGGTCCACACACACACATCTCCTTCACCCCAAGAAGGCAGGCCTACCAACTTGTGCACATACCTTCAAACGTAATGTAGGCTTAAGCCTGTTACAGCACAGTAGTTAGCATATGCTCTCCAAGTGGACTCTGGATTCAAAATCTGGCTCGACCACTTGCCTGTGTAAGTTACTTAACTTCACTTTACTGAGCCCCTCATCTTCAAATGGTGACGACAGCACCTTCCTTCATGGAATGAATGTGAGGTAGCAAAGTAGTAACATATGCGAAGGGCCTCACACACAGTAAATGCGCAACAGATACTGGCGATTATTATTTTGCCTTCATTATACTGGAGAAGTTCAATCAGAATAGTTCAAACAAAACTAACCCTCCCTATCCTTTTTTCTTTCCCTCAATTTCGAAGTGTCACGTGGAGTCAGCTGTTTCTCCCAGGTTCTTATTTCCACACTACCTTCTAAATCCCTTAATTCCACTGACTTCCCACTTCACTCCTCTTCCCATTATCATGCTGTTTCTCTCTCCAAGGGAAGATTTCTTTACCCTTACCTCCCTCCCTCTGTTTTCTTTCCAAGTTTGCAGAAACATAGTAGAATACAGATTGGTAAAGATATGAATGAACTAAGTGGGACTGTTTTCCTAATTTTTAAAATATGAATTACAACCATGGTTAAGTACATGCAATGGGTTAAAGAACCTGGTATACTCAATCAAAAGCTATCTGCAATAAATGCATGAGTCAAATTCTACCACTTCTATTTCACATGTATATTAGTCATAGATAGGGTAGAGACACAATATGTCTTGAATTGTAGGGCAGTTAAGATAAAATGGTCACTGGTTGAATGTGTACTGACTAATACAATGATATCAACCCCAAGGGAAGGGTCAGAGGTGTGCCACACAGCATTGAATATGGCCCAACCTTAGTCAATATTTACAACAATTTGAGGTTAAAGGGCATGCTTGTGATAGATGGCAGAAATAAATTGTTAATATACAAACTGTTAATATACTAACAGCCTGTGACAGCTTGAACATGAGACAAAAGCAACAAGAGAAAATTTAAGAACTATAACTGAAAAGTCCTACACTTCAGGTCAAACAATTATCCCCACAATTGATGAAACCTAACTTCAGAACAGTTCACATGAAAAGGTCCTATCTGATGGCAAGGTTAGTGTGAGTCAGCAAAGGAATATACCACAAAAGCTAAGCCTGCCAGAGAATTCATTTGCAGCAAAATCCAAAACTTGAAACTTGGTAACGGTCCAACCATTTCCGCAGGAGCCTGTTCACTTCTGGGTGCTACAGCCCCAAGGGCAACAAGGATAATGATAAAAAATAAAAGTGTTAAGGACCAAGGGATGAGAGCTGGAAGTGGAAGAACTGAAGTGGAGGGATGCGGTAACAGTCCCCCAAAAGAAGTTTTATAATTTATAGCTCCAAAAGGCAAGATTAAGATCAGTGATATTGTTCCAGAAAGGTTCAAACCAGAGAAAAACTTTCTAATCACCTGGGTCTCCATACATGAGGTTGCAAAGCTGGAAGAATGTATTCATGCTAAAGCCTAGGTTAGAAGAGGTTAAATCTGATGGTCTCCAAATAAGTAAAAGTTTAATTCCATCAGTTACCCAATTCTTAAAAATATTTTCAAAGGCTACGTAGGCCCATAGGTAATTAAAACAGTTAGAAAATGACTTTATTTTTACTGTTGGTGGAAAATTCACATTCGTTATCAAGGCATGGTTTTTTATAGCATATAACTTAAAAAATAAAAACTGATTTCTTCTGTAACCTCATTGGCTTCAGGTATAAAGGCCATCATTTCTTTGTGGGCAGACAAAATGGGAGAAGGGAGCGAAGAACTGTTCTGTGGCATTGCAACAGGAAATCTAAGAAGGAAGATTTCTAAAACCAAATTCCGTTGATCAATTTCAGGAGAGGTCGGAGACCTATGGGTTTAAAAAAATTAATTGAAATGAACAAAGGCCAGTCTTACATAAGGTCTCAAGAGTCGCTTAGGCAACCTGAGTCATCTGGACCACACGTGAGCTGAATGATTAGCTATGGGTGTGACCCGTTTACTGTAAGGCTCTCAGCCCAAGGGGATTTTCAGGCCGGTTTTTATGACTGAAGGTTGGTAAGCCAAATCACGTCCTAGAGAAAACCATTTTTATTTTTTGAAGCAGTGAAGCAGCATCATAACAAGGGCCGGTGTAGTTCCAGTTGCTTGGCTTTGCTCGGGATTTTAGCACTTCCGACTCCTCGGAGGGTCTCGCGTCGGGGAAGCCCCACGCCTGCCCCAAGCATCTCCTTCCGCCCGTGGCCCGCCTTGGCCCCGCACGTCTTCCCCAGCATCCGCAGGGTCTGCCGGCCCGCACTGCCCCTGCTCCGAACATCGGGGAGCCTCCCGGCAGTGCGAGCCTCTGCGGGTGCACTGCGGCATCCGCGCCCGCCCCAAGGCCGCCGGGCCGCTGGGTTCACCGCCCGCGCACGCGCCGCCTCCTCCGCAGTGTGCAACCCCGCGGGGGAGGAGGGAATCGCGGCCACGTCACAGCCCGGAGGGTTCCAAAGGGGCGGGGCCTCCCGAGAGGCTGCGGCGCTCCCCGCCATCGCGCGCGCGCGCGCCCCCGCCCCCACGTGTCCCTGCGGCCCCGGGGAATGTGGGTCACGGAGCCGAGCGGCCTCACGTGTCCCCGCCCGCCGCCGCCGCCTCAGCGCCCATTATGTAATGCCGCGTCACGCGCCCGCCCAGCCAACCGGCGCCCGCGCGCCGCCGAACGTAAACACAGCGCGCACGTGGCTCGCGCGGCCGGGCCATGTGAGGGGGGGGCCGGGCCGGCGCCGCCGGGCCGCGCTGCGGCGTTGCAGGGAACCGGTGGGGCGATCGCGGGGCGACCCGGGGAGCGACGGGAGCAGAGCCCGCGGCGGACAGGAAGCGCGCGGCAGCCCACCCCGTCGACCTCAGGGACGCCCGCCGCCCGCCCAAATGCCCCCCCAGCGGGCTCCGAGCGCCCTCTCCGCCGTCCCCGACCCGCCGCAGTCCGGCTCTTACCTGCATTCACCTCCATGGTGCCCTCGGGGAGGGGACCAAGGCCGCCCGCTTCCCGCAGAGGGGGCAGCGCCCCCTGCGCCTCAGCGCCGCGCCGCCCCGGACTGGAGGCAGCGGTGGTCGCGGGGCCCCCTCATGGGCAGGGCGGGCGGAGCGCCCGGGACCCGCGGCCGAAGCGCGGGCTGCAGTTAAGAGACAGCGGCGGCCGGCAAACGGCGCTCCTCGCGGGGTCCCTGACAACAAAAGCGGCGGCGCGGCGGCTTCCTGCAGCCAGCGCACCGCGGCGGAGAGGGCGGCTGACGGGGAGGGCAGCCGCGACCATGTGACCCGCGCACACACCCCCCCTTCCTCCGCCCGCCCCTCCGCCGGCCGCAGCAGCGACTCCGCCCCCTCCCCGCTCCCTCGTCTCCCTTCTCCTCCCCTCCCCCGCTCCCCTTCCTTTCCTCCGCTTCTCCGTTCTTTACTTCAGCCCCTTACCCCTCCTTTCCCCTATTTCGAAACCTCTCCACACATCTTCCCTTTTCCCCCCTCCCCCTCTCCCCGGCTGACCTTCCCGCCTCCGAGCACCCTCCACGCCCCCCTCCCCAGGCCTGCTCGCCCGCGCACCTAGTGACACCTCAAGTCACCTCTGATGGTTACCGAGGACCGCCCCGCGGCGCCGAGCGGACCGGCTTTTCAGGACCACGGGCTGGGCCAACTTGGCTTCGGTTAGCGCCACCCGTGACCTCCCGACAGGTCCCGCTCGCCCACCCGACAGACCTCTCACTGATGGACCCTTGCAGAGCACAGCCCGTTTTTCTTCCCTCTGCACCCCTCGGGCGATTTCGTCCAATCCTATAGCTTAAGTAGACCTGTTTTCGGAAGATTGCCGAATTTACGTTTCAGATGCCTACATCTTGACTATGACCCCTTGATGTCCTTTAGGCATCTCAAATTTAAGATGTAGACAGATGCATGCATGTGTCATAACTCAGTGAATGCACACTTAAGACGTGTGCGCGTCACCTTGTATGTAAATTTTACATCAAAAGAAAAAACGAAGCACGTGACGTGTGCTGAGGTATGCAGAGGGAAGTGCACTGATGTCTGCGATTAAAATGCATTACTAAAGTAAGACGGGCTGATGGATGGAGGCAAGGACAAATGGATAGAAGCATAGTAAGATGTTAGCTGTAGGTGTTGTATGTGGGTACTCACTGTAAAAGCATTTCCAATTTGCTGTTTGAAAATGTTCAGTATAAAATGTTGGCGGAAATGTAACATGTAAGACATTTTTACATGTGCAACACTGCTTCCCCATTCCATCTCACTCACACACATTCCTTCCCCATCTCAACCTTTACTGTTGGCAAATCTGCCAGTTCCTAAAGCCAGCAAATAAAGATTAGTTGTGTTCTCTCTCTCTCTCTGTCCCTCCCTCCCTCCCTTCCTTCCTCTCTCTTTTATATCCCCATTCAGTCCACTAACAAATCTGAGCTATTCTACCTTCATAATATGCCTTTATAGCCTGTATGCTTCTCACCATCGGCATTGCTGTTACTGTATAGACCAAACCATGATCACCTCTTGTCGGCTACTAGAATAGTTCCGTAACAGAAGGACTGCTCCTTAAAAAAAAAAAAGAAAGAAGGACCGCTTCTTGTATCCGCCTACAGTCACTTCTCCCTGAAGTCAGTGTCCTTTTTTTTTTTAATGCAAATAAGATCTGATTACTCTGCTCATATCCTCAAATACCTTCTTATGGTGCTTTGAAAAATACCTAACGCTTTACCCTGACGTGCAAAGCCCTGCACGAACCAAGGCCCTGCTTCTCTTTCCAGGGCTCTTTTCCCAACCTCTAAACACAGTTCTCTAACCACAGTGGTCCTCTTTTCTTTCCTGTTTCAGGGTTTTATCACCCTGTGTGATACTGATGAAAGAATTCCTCTAAGCTACACTCTGTTGCTTGCTTTTTAATTTTATGTACCAACCACCATCTGCTTCTGCATGGGTAAAATAAGGCCAACATGAACAGTCTAGAAGGCAGAAAAATCATAAAAGAGAATACCACTCTGAAAAGGCTACATACTATGGTTCTAACTATATGACATTCTGGAAAAGGCAAAACTGTGGCGACAGTGTAAATACCATGGGTTGCCAGGGGCTAGGGGGAGGGAGGGATGTAAAGGCAGAGCACAGAGGCTTTTTAGGGCAGTGAAACTGATCAGTGTACTACTACTGTAAATACATGTCAAATGTACAACACCAAGCATGAACCCTAATAGAAACTATGGACTTTGGATGATTATGATGGATCAATATAGGTTCATCAGTAGTAACAAACCTACCATGGTGGTGGGGGAGGCTGTGTGTGTTTATGGGGGTCCAAGGTATATGGGAACGCTATGTACTTTCTGTTCAATTTTGCTGTGAACCTAAAGCTGCTCTAAAAAAATAAAGTGTTTTAAAAAGACAGACGCACACAGAGAGAGGAGACTACCATTTAAATTTGAAAAGGAGAAGAGTGGAAGTGGAAATAAGCCATTGCAAAGGAAATAAGATCCTCTCATGCCTATGGGATAAAATCATCTGTGTCTATAAGCCTGGCGTATTTTAAAGGCCACTTCCTTTCCATAAGACTTTGTGGGTAACAATCCTAGACTATAAAGCTATAATGCAGGTTAGTTCCCAGCCACACCACTGGCCCCTGGAAGCCTGCTGGCCTCACCAGGGCCAGAGGAGGATGCTGGGAGGCATCGGGTTGGACAGCCCCCAAGTGCTGTAGTTGCGGTGGAAATTGCCTTTTGCTGCTGTCATTCTGAGAAGCCTCGTTTGTTAACCCTGTGGAGTCTATGGCTCAGTCTGTAAAAATTCTCAGACTCAGAGGATTTCTACCTATTCCACCTTCCTCATTCCGCTGAACAAAATGATAATTCTGTTGAATGAAGTGACTGTGTCTTCAAAAATCATGTGTTTAAAAATGCAAATTATTTCCTGGGAAAGTTACCTCATTAACCCTTATATTCCACGAACATCAGGAAGACCCTGGGAAAATGAACACAGGATAAGGTCAATCTCAATGTGGATAAAGGAAGAAAGAGCCTAAATATTAGTCTTCTAATCCCAAAATCAAGTAAAATAGGCCAAGTGAGGAACTGCAGTATACGAGGACCTGGCTGAAGGAGAGGTATTGGGAAAAAAAGATGGAGTTTCCTTAAAGCTAATTAAAAACATGTAGGGTCATTCCTCATTTTAAAATGTTCTAATGAATATTGCTAGCTCCCAACACCACAATAACATTCCACTTAAACTTTAGCACAGAGTGCTTTTTTGTGGGCTATTTACTGATACTTACCTATTAGAAATGAAAACAGAGAAATATTTAAAACACAAAAGTACACAGCACATGTCACAGAGAAGTGACATCATCACATGTCAACAAACAGCTTTGTCAGTTGCCTCTGCCACCACAAATTGCAATTGCTATTCGTCATGATATTTATGATGTACCTTCTTCCAGGTTCTTTTTTTCCTTCACTGTTCTGGCTGTAGTACTAGCTTCTATATCATCCTCCAATTCTGCCTTTATCAAAGTTTGCCTTTATTGTAAATCCAAAAAATTGTCTATGCTAATTTATTAACTAGAAAAATAATTTAATTACATTATAAGTAAATAATAAACATTTCAACTTAATTACCAATTACGACTTACATAGGGATCATTAGGTAAGTCATCTTCTCATTGTATGTCTTCATAAAATATTCAAATAAACACATTGCTTTATAGCTATGCATAGAAATGAGTCATTCAAACTGATTCAAACCATTGATACCAACAAGATCAGGGATGTGTTTATGTGCAATACTAGAAATGATGCACACATCCAACACACAGTACAATGCAATAATATCTTATAAGATGCAGTGGGGCCGGCTGAGTGGCTCAGTTGGTTAAGAGCTCGCTCAAGAGTTTGAGCTCTGAGCAACAGCAGTTCGAGTCAGCCTGAGCTGAGCAGCCGCTGAGCTGCCAACAGGTGGCAGGATGGCTCAGCTAAAAAAAAAAAAAAAAATTAAAAAAAAAAAGAGTCAAGTTGTGTTTAACAGAAAAATACACCGTTCCAATTTTTAAATTTAAATTATTTAAAATTAAAATTTAGTCCCTTAGTTGCACTAGCCATATTTCAAATGTCAAAAGTCACATGTGACTAGCAGTAACCACACTGGTCATTACAGATTAAGTCTTCCTTACTCTTTCTGAGTCAGCACGATAAATTATTATCCTAGGAAATTACCCATGTTGTATAAGTTTCCAAATTTATTGAAATAAAGTTGTTAATGTTATCTCTTTAATCTCTATGGGTTCTAGAGTTCCTCATCTTAATTTGGTTTATTTGTGCTTTTTCTTCTTTTTCTTAATCAGTCCTACTAGAGATGTATCTATTAGCTTTCTCAAAGGCTCAGTCTTTGGCTTTATGACTCACTACATTTGTTTTCAATTTCACTGATTTCTGCTCTTGATCTCCCTCTTTCCATTCTCTTTTAATCTGATTTTTCTAATTTCTTAATTTGGACATCTTATCAATTTTGCTTTAGTTGGCCAGAGTCAGTTTCTCTCTTAATTAAGGAAACCTCACTGATAGAACTGCTTTAACTCATTCTCAACTATTATAGGGAGTATTCCAGTTACTACTGCGGTATAACAAATCTCCCCATAACTTACAGGTTCAAAATAACAGCAATCGTTTTACTATCTCTGATGCTTTCTATGGGTCAGGAATATAGGGAGCTCCTGGCTGGGCATTTCTGACTCAGAGTTTCTTGTCATCAATGGCAATCAGACAGTAGGTGGAGCCAGAACAGCAAGGGGCTGGAGCAGCTGGAGGCTAGTCTGGCCTTTCTGTCTCTTTAGGTAGTTAGTTGTAAGGCTTCTCCACATGGACTCTACATGTGGGCTACTTAAGGCCCCCTCACAGCATGGTGACCTCAGGGCAGTCATACTGCTTACAGAGCAGGTCAGGGCTCCACTACAGGCAGGAGTTATATCACCTTTTCTGACCAAGCCTCAGAAGTCATGTAACATCAATTTTGCTACATTATTGGCTGCAAAGGAGTTAGAAGCACACTCAGCTTGGAGGGTGGGCATACAGATCTCATTTATTCATAAGAGGAGCATCAAGGTCATATTTTGAATAGCATGTGAGATAGAATATATTGTTGCGGTTACCATTGTTCAAACAGGGAACAATTTTAAAGAACAACACATATACAGTTCACCTTGACTTAAGGACCACCTTACAGTGTCATCAAAGCTTTAACTTTTTTATTCCCTTTACACAGTAGCATT